TGAAATAGCGGGTCAGGTGTACAGAAATAATCGTAAGCTGGGGAAAAAAAAAAAAAAAAAAAAAAAAAAAAGAAAAGGAAGAAAAAAAAAAGAGAATAAGAAGAGAGATGAATCATAAATCATCCCTGGCCCGAAGCGGAGGAGCGGACGCCGGGCAGGCTGCTCGCCCAGCCCGGCCGTGCCGTGTCCCGCCGGGGCCGGGGCCGGGGCCGCTCGCAGCCGCTTCCCCGGGGCTGCGGCCGCGGCCCAAGGGCCCCCCCTGGCGGCGCCGCCCCGCCCGGCACGGCCCGGCTCGGCACGGCTCGGCACGGCACGGCACGGCTCGGCCCGGAACGGAACGGCACGGCACGGCACGGCACGGCACGGCACGGCTCGGCACGGCACGGCACGGCACGGCTCGGCACGGCTCGGCCCGGCCCGGCCCGGCCCGGCCCGGCCCGGCCCGGCCCGGCCCGGCACGGCACGGCACGGCTCGGCACGGCTCGGCACGGCCGGCACGGCACGGCTCGGCCCGGAACGGAACGGCACGGCACGGCACGGCACGGAACGGAACGGAACGGCCCGGCCCCGCATGGCACGGCACGACACGGCCCGGCTCGCCGCGCTCCCGCTCCGCGCCCCGCCGAGCCCCGGGGACTCCGCCCGCAGCCGCGGAGAGGCTTCCTTTGGCGGGGGCTTTCTTCCGCACCGGGGGAAGCTGTAGCTACAGAGCCGGCGCTAAGGAGAGGTGTGGGTGCTCACGGGCCCTGCACGACCACAGCCGTGCTCCGTGGAATTAACCTGGAGAGACTTCTAAGGCAGCTTTTCAGCCACGACGCCGCTCGCATTTCTTTCCCTCTGGAACAGCAACAGCCGTGACTGGGGGTGAGGTGTGTGAGGAGTGAGGGCGTTTGCTTGGGAAAGCCTCGTACTCGACAGGGAAGAAGAGACTTTCCAGATAACTCCAAGGTTAATTTAAGACTTGGCCACGAAATCTAGACTTTGAATAATACATGAATTGCAACAATTCCACCAGGATATGGTGACCGGGAAGCGGTTTCTTCCTGCCCTGGTTCTATCATCCTATTTTCATCTCCAGAGCAGAAGCCCTAGGTTTGCTGCTTCCCCCAGCACAGAACTTAAAAAGTCACAACAGTGACATCTGCTCACATGCACACCGCTGCACATTCTGGTCTCTGTAACTCACCTCAGAGATAAGAAACTGAAACTCACTGTCTACACATCTCAAACTCTCAGTAGTAGAAAAAGCTTGCTTTTCTTTTTCTTTGAAGGTTACCAACCCTCCTGCTAAGTGCATGGCCATTCCCCCCTTGGAAATACTTGGGGCTGATGGCAGCTCTCAGCTCCTCTCCTGCCCGAGTAAAGGCTTCATGTTTTGTCCACTGTCAGGGCTGGGATGACTCAGGCTATTGACAGTGCCAGCACAGGTCACTGACCTGGAGGGATGGAGACCAGGTTTGAGCTCATCCCTTGCCCCCACAAAAGCAGGAAGCAGGGAAAAACCAACCATATTCAATTCTTGAGAAGCAGCAACAATCCTCCTGTAGCAATGCCATCAGTGACAATTGCACAGCAGTGAAGGGTCATGAAGGCCATTGCTTCACATTTAAACAGGAGAAAAGTGACGACATGAGGGAAATTCAGGGTCTTGAGAAGCACTTTCTTTTAGACAGCAAAGATCCATCTCACAGATTTCTCAGAAACAGGTCTGTTAAATATCACGTATATGGCACTCAAATCCAGCTACTTGTAAGAGGCAGAAAGATGAAACCAAGATGTAGAGGACAACCAAGTCTCACATGCCATGTAACTCTTTCAATATATTGAGGTGGATGGAAGCAGGGTATCCCTGCTTGTCCTTCTGCAACAGCCATTTGTGTGAGGGACATCTAGGTGGTGATCCCTCTTCAGACAGGGCTGCGTTGCTGAAGGTCCACAGGCTCAGTAGTCCTGAAATCCTGTAGCCCATAACCTCCATTCCACACCACTCTCACAGAAGGAATTTATTAATTTCTAACTTCCCAGCATATTCTGCTCTTTGTGTGTCAGGATTTTGGGTCTGTATCATCATTTCTCCATCAAGATGAGTGTTCTGAAGGTCTTAATCCTCATGTAATCAGGTGGAAGAGCTACAGTTTCTCAGGGCAGTGATGGCAATAAGTAAAGTTTCTGTCATTTGAAGTTGCAGTTATTTTGGTGAAATCCCTCACCAGGGATGCTGCCTTTTGTGTGAAGGAACAGACACACAGTAATGTGTGCACTGAAGGGACAGTTGCACATGTGTATGTGGAGGAGCTTCCAGGGACCCAAGCAGCTCTACAGACAGGACAGGCAAGGGATCAGATCATGGCACCAAACAAACATTTGCAAAAGTGTATTTCTCAGAGACCTGAAAGCCACAAACAGCCCTAGGGACTCCAAGGGGACACATCAGTGATGGAGTGAGAGATGGTCCATCTTCTCCTACCAGTTTGCTAATGAAAAGAGGGTGATGGGAATTACAGATAATCCTGATGATACCCAGTTTAAGGCACAGTACTACCCCATCCCTCACCATGTGGAGGATCAATACTTTGTCACTCTGGGGAGTTTGTCACCACTAGCTTGGTCTTCTAGGGGTCAGCAGAGGCTTCCTACCCTTGGCTTGAAGGCTAGAGATAAGCAGCTACCATAGCTCTAGATGATGAAATGTTTTGGAAGTATCTATTGATGCTGCTCACCTTTTCTATCTTGCAAAATAGTAATTGTAACCCTTCCCGAAATTCCTCCAAACTTCCTGGCCTGGCACTAGCTCCAAGCAATTTTAGTTCCTTTCTATGGAAAAGGAGCAATGCAGCCCCGTCACTGGGAACTTGCCACGTTTTACACCAAAGTCATTTACCCTGCTGTGCTTCGATACAGCACTATGTGAATGTAGACATTAATATCCTTGATCCAACTGAATCCTGTGTAGTCTATCACAGGAATACATATCTGAGCTCTGGTACTGCATTGCCATATGCAGCGTAGGGAACCTTCCATATGGTTTCTGAAAAGTGGTTACAGCACACGTGCACCAGGCGCTTTTCAAAGTAAAACAGATCTGTTCATTTTTATTTTCAAAATACCAAAGCAGTAAAATCATGTAATTGAGTAATCACTTGCCAAATTTCCTTTTCTAATCTAATCTATTTTGAGTTACATCAGAGCCAAAATGCAAATTAAACTGGTAAGGTTCCAAGGTTTTTTTTCCCCTTCCCTTTCAGAAAACACAATTTAAGGTAATCATAAGTAAAGAAATTTTAAAACCCCATTTGTTTTGTATGCTGTAAACTTTGGAAAACATGTTTCAGCCTGAAGTAAATTTTCATAGGTAATAGGTTACATAGAAGTCTTATGTAAATTTTGATCTCTTCTTAACAACTCCAATGTTCATTTTATAAAATTTGATTTGAAAATAATGCCATTGTTTTAAAAGAGGCTGGAAGGGTGAGAAACTAAGCAAAAAAAAGTATACACTAACAAGGTGCACATACACTCTTCTAGCTGTGGCTACTGTATTGAAGAAGGAGAGATTACTGAGATACCTTGTTTTCAGATTCCAGTCATTCAATTTTTGGAGGGGGTTGTTGCAGGAGCATTAGAAGCCAAATTTGCTCACCAGGCAGGACAAAGTCAGGAGCACTTGACCACAGGGTGAGACAGATCCTCCCCATCCCACCAGAGCCTCCTGAAGTCACGCATCCCAGCTGAAAGATAAAGGCAACCTTCCAGAGCACCCGCTGCTGGAAACCTTTGCTCTTTGGGTTGCAGGTGTTTGGATTGAGTCTCTGCTTACCCATGGCAGACCTTGTGAAAAGCCATGTGACATCCTTGGTTGCCTTCTTCCACAGTGTTACCATCTGCTGAAAAAAATGGCACCCACTCCAGTCGTGTCTGTTTTCACGATTTTTCTCTCCTCAAAAATACTTCCTTAAACTGGGGGCTGCTTGTGACACCTCCCAGCTCCTTTTTAAGGCTGCGAAGGCACAACTTCAATTCAAGTTAAAATACTTCAAAGCAGTTGAACAGTCTTCCTTTTGCTGGAACCCCTCTAGCCCTAATGACACGCTCCTGTTGAAAGACAGTGGTCAAGGGCAGGGACAGTCCAACCCTCAGCATGCAAAATGCAGCAGGAGACCTAGAGAAGAGAGATGGAGGAATTAAAAGGCTGACAGCCTATGAAAGACTGACCAACCTTGCAGCCAGACTTCTAAAGGGTTTCTGGCCGCTCTTCAATGTGCCTTTCCGCCCCCATCTCCAGCAGTGTCATCAGCACTCAACAAAGTTTGTTGAACCTGGTTTGCTGAGCTAAAACCACTGAGAAGGAAATTGTTTTTTCTTTGGCTGCTGCTAAAGGCTGAATTGTTAACCAGTTTAACTCCTCGATTCCTCACTCAAACTGTGAGGTGACAGCCAGTGTCAGTTCAAGGGAAGCGAGAGCAGTGTGTAGCCAGGGGAACAGGGACACTATTTTTAACAGCTAATAGCCCAAATTAGCTGCAATGTCAAACCACACCCTCAGGTCTCTGATGGCTATGGAGACTACAAAGATGGCACAGAGGGCAAAGGAGAGACAGGAAAAGCGCGAAATCAAAACAGGCCAGGAATAAAGAGGATACACACACACTACATGCAAAGCAGGGGCTGGACTGTGAGTGTTGATCGTGGGAACAGATGGAGAGATAGAGAGAGAAATGACACCCATTACACTCAAAATCATATGTATGAGAGAGGGGGAGAGGGGAGGGCAGGGAGAGCACAGTGGGAGAGAGAATTCACAAGGCAGGAAATAGATTTGCAGAAAATAATAGTTTAAGGAAAACTGGAATCGGAACTTAGCGTTCACTGGAAAACCACAGCCTAGTCAGATCAGTGCAGTTAGAAAAGAAGGATCCTTTGAAAACCAGCTCAGTAGTTTCTCTTTTCGTGTTTGACATCTGGAAGGAGAACCTGCTCTTTGTACACTGCATAGTCACACAAAGAGTTAAAAGGTACAGCCTAACATCAGTGTTGGCTAGCCCCATACATTTATTCTATCAATTAGAGGCAGGACATTGCACAGAATAAACTAAAACCAAATCAAATAAAGCATTCTTCCAGTTCTGAAGAGGACTAAGATGCAAACAAAAAGATCTTCATACTTCCATGGCTTTCCACTGGCACAGGAACCAGAAAGAAATATTCATTTAGATCTGGCTATAAACATTTATCTTGTGTGGGAGGTCTTAGTATTGTAATATGTATTAGAAACTTGGTATTTTTCCAATCAAGTCTTTCCACTTCCATTTACATATATTTAATTGTAAATATTCATTTTCCTACCTGAAGCACTTTAAATAAATATACAATAAACACAGTCTATGTGGAAGGGGAGTGAATAGCTGAGGAGACTTGTGATGGGGCCCAAAACTGCTCCAGTCTCCCCTGCTGGTGAGGAGCAATGCAGGAAGATCCCTCCTGAGAGCTTGTGGGGGGGTCTTGTAGATCGAGGTGGTGATCTCACCCTTTTGTCTACTGCACTGAGATCCTCCCTCCCAACCAGTAAATCACAGCTGACACAAACTGGCATCTGCAGAAATGGTAATGGCTGGCCAAGTGATGCCCTCTCACACAGAGAAGTGGATTTCTTCAGAGCACAACCAACTTCAGTTTGCAGTCTTGTCAATATACACTCCTATTTTGCAAGCACTGAAACACACAGGCCATAGAATGAGCAGACACTGTAACCCCAACTGTATTTAAAACAGAACTGCACAATGCACAGAAATTCTCAGGTGAGATGCTGTCCTCTGACCTCAACAGTGCTGGTCACCATGGTCAGCAGGGGCACTGCTGCCTTCAGGGGGAGCCTGCTTCAGCCCCGCGCAGCAGTGAGGTGTCAGGGAGCCTGCAACTGCTGAAGCTCTCCCCGAACATTCCCCACATGCACGGCAGCAGGCACAAGCCCACACCTCGTACACACTGGGGCTATGGGCACACTGGAGGAGTGCTTCTGTCCCCTACTGTCACCTAACGCAGTCCTGATGTAGGGTGCAGCACCAGCTGATGCACACAAAAGCCTCAGTGTGTGACAGAAAATTAGTATTTTTTTTTTTTTTTGTTTGGAGGTGACAGAAAGCACATTTTAGAAGTTTTCAAGTTGAGATGCACAGATTGAGGACAACTGGAAGAAGGCTGGAAGCTGTTTTTTCAAGATGAAGTTATGAAATCAAATTGATAGAATGGGTAACAGTGTGGATAAGCAGGAAAAAAGCAAGGTCTTATCAGCTGTTCTCCCAGGAGATGTAAGTTAGAAAGAAGAGAGAGACTTTTACATACTTGAACCACTCCTCAGGCACAATCAGAGGCAGTAAGTTACAACACAGAGTACAGGTTAAGTATGAAGCTTTGTCCATTAGTCATACTTGAAGATTTCCTACCTCCCCAAGATATCCTGTATATACCATATAAACTGAATATTACCGCAGTCATAGTGACATACTACTACAGTGTGCATTTATTATTTAATAATAAATTTAATATTATTTAAAGAGACCCTTTGTGCCACTTCCCCTGAGAAAGTGATACTTCATTGCTACAGTACATTAATAGCAAAATTAAAATTTATTTCCAAGTAACTAGATCCAATGCCAAACTAAGAAACTGTTGACCTATGGGGCAATGTGGGAAAGATGCAAAAGACATCACTTTATATTTCATGCCTATACTAATGAACCATGATTTGTTGTGGGGTATATCTATAAAGTGAAAAGAAGGTAAATGGCATCATAATACTGACCAAGGCAAGTCAGAAGAACTACAGGAAGTAAGACAGTACTTCTGGAGAACAAAACAAGTGGAGTGCCTCTTCTGAAAGTCACATAGAGGTTTTTTTGCATAGATTAAAACTTTTATCATGATGGATCATAAACTGTAAAGCAGTACTTGTGTCTATCGGAAAATTCTATTTTATGTGTGAATTTGAAGTCTTATACATGAGGACAGATAGAACTCTTTTACTACATTATTGGAGACTTATCAAAACCAGGATGCTTTTTTCTTGAGAAGATGAAAAGTACAGAGATAAGCAAGGAAATAAAGACTGAAGTTTTAACCAATAATATTTTTGTGTGGTTATCAGAGGAATGTAATAATTAATCTTTTAATCATTCTAAAGATGGTGTGAAATCATAATATCTCATCTTTTCCAGCCTCAACCTGCCATTCTTGATCTGAATTACAAACAATAAGAAAGGAGATGATTTAATGAGCAACTTTGTCATGTTGCCATTTTGCCTTAGTCAAAGGCAAATATCTAGTTTTGCCTCTAAACTAAAATGGAACAGACTTATGTTTCAACTATGCTCACAAATGAGGCAAAGATAAATGGAAAACTTAGGGCTATTTTAAAGATAGAACCAGTGTCTTCACATTTTCACAGAGACATAATCAAATGCACACTGTTAAGAAGAAGCAAACATTGATTTACTAGAAAATAAAATCCACTTTGTGAAGAAACACACATGTATGAAGTTTAAACTAAGCTAAATCCAAAATGAAAAATTTCACTCACAATGGCAAAAGGTATGTTCTTATTATGAAAGAAAAAAAGTGTCAGCATGATTTAATCATACTCTATAAATAGGCACTTCAATAAAGTATATATTTACACTGGCTTTCTGGATGCTAGGGCATCACAAAGTAGAATGGCTTTATTACAATGGATGGAAGATGGCAACTACTTAGAACCCAGTGCCAACATGGATTATAACAAATCCAGTGAGTATTTTGTTTTTCAATTATTCATAGAAAATTTAATCCTGATTAAGTATCCTTGGGCAGGAATTCATGGGTAGTTGATGACTGAAACCAACATTTATTTGAAATGCTTCTGTTAATTTAATCTGTGTATATGGCTTAATTATGATTGAATCCTCAATGTAACAGAAATGAATTATATCAGGATTAAAATTCTAGTACCACATCACCCATTCCATTTTCTTTGCCTTTTTTTTCTCCTTTAAAAGATGCAAGGCTGCTGTTTTAATTACCTTTATGTTGCTATGTATTCCAAGCCTCAAAAACTGTTCAGACCTTGATTACTGGATGGAATTTTTAGTTACATTTACTTTTTTTTTTAAAAAGGAAGACATAAACCCTATTTACATTCCCATTAGGATTTTAACCAGTATGAACATTAGATGCAAAAAAGGCTTTTCTTTTACACCCATGATAAAGGAAGGTTTCTTGCAGTCAGTTGTGAACATTTTACATATGTTTTCTAGATGATTCTCCCTCCTTTCTTTCCCTATCTTTTACACCGATACATAAAATGCATTTTCTCTAAAGCATGAAAACAAAAAAACCCTTTTACTCATCGTTATGCATCACACCAATTTCACAACTGGCCTATTTTAAACTTGTTTGAGCACGTAGATGTTTTAGGAACTCAATTTTATAAGACCTTCAAATCTAGTACTGACACAAAGTAATGGCATTTTTTGTTGAGCATGTAGATGTTTTAGGAACTCCATTTTATAAGACCTTCAAACCTAGTACTGACACAAAGTAATGGCATTTTTCCTGTCCGTGAATGGGAGAGAAAAGATTCATTGTACTCTTCTGTGATACAACTCAGCACCACTTGTTAAACAGTATCTATAAAACTCTTCAATATTTTTCAATACTCTTCAGTATTCAACTCCACAATATTTTTAAACACATTAATCTAGGAATCTTGTCAGACCAAAGGTCTGTGAAGTGCTTTGATATTATCACTCAGTTTTCCAGTGAAACCAATGTATCATATACACTTGTGACAAAATACCTGCATATTCAAGTCATTATTGCACATTTATTACGTAATGTATTCTTCCTAAACATCTCAGAAGTGATGTCGATTTTTATGTCCAGAGGATATTGTTAGTGGCAATGTCACTGATGACAATGAAGATACTTCCCAATATAGACTATGAGATAGAAAAAGTCTGTAGAGGATAACCATGGAGATGCACTGACAGAGGATAACACCTATGGTAATAATCTAGAGACAAAAAAAAAGAGAGAGAAAGAAATAGTAAGTAAAAAAAAAACTCTCTCACTAACAAGCCACAATAAATTTCTATCAGCATGAGTGCTCGAGGTTTAACTTTAAACCCTTTAACACTGCTGCAGTTACAAAAGATTTGAACATGCATTTCAAGTCCAGGAATCAGACTCTCACACCTGGGTGTTTTTAAATCAGTGGATAGCCCTGGGCAAGTCACATAACCCTTCTGGCAGTCTCTGTTCTGGGGAATTTCAGACTTTCAATTCACCACCCATGCAGTTTCACAAGCAGAGGTGATGTTTAGATATTCTATTCTTACAACAAACAGTCTGGGGGGGAGGGGGGGGAAAGAAAGCTTGGAAACACTTTGCACTAGCAAAATCATGGAGCTGAGGATAGTGATTTGTCAGTCTCACTTAGCCAGATCTCTTTCAGTTCAAGCCTCTTCATCTGCAAAAGCTGTCTAAGGCTGTATTTATCAAATGCCTAAAGGTGTAACTTGTTTCTGAGAAAGCACAAGTCTTCAGTTTATGTGCAGGAAATCCTTTAAAATGCACCTTTTTCTTAAATAAGTATGGTAGTTATTGATTGTGCATTTTATTGTATTGAGGTGCATTTCAAGAAGCAAACACAGCTGAATTATCATAGTGTAGGAATTGCAGCTGCACATAATGGTTAAAGTTGCTCAAATGCAAGAGCAGAGCAATTGTAGTCTTCCTTTAGTAAGCTCAAAATACTGCAAAAATACTACTTTACTGATACCTCTGGAGACTGTCCTCCTGCCCTGAGGATGTTTTCATCAAGCAAAACAAAAAGTCTCTTCATTAGTAACTCTAGAGGAATCAATTTTTTCTGCCTAGATTTCCTTTTTTTTTTTTTGTAAATCAAACACAGAATTTAATTTATTATTTATATTTAATAAAACCTTTTTCTTTCCCTTACATATCCTCTACACAAATAAAAGCTCATTTTCTGAATATATTTGCATACAAATGCACAGATGGTTATAAGCATAAAGAAAAGAAGCAAACCCTATGCTGGAAGGAGGTAGTCAATCACCTGAGAACAGTGGTGCACATCATCTGAACATGGCAGGCTGCACACACAGAGTTCTCCACTTCCCAATACATTTAAGCAACCGAGAAACTCAGCAAGTCCACCTTTGTTTTTACCTGCTTAGAGCTTACAAACCAAACAACATATTTGGACAGACTACTTGATCTAAGGAATACAGTTCAGCTACAGGTTCCCTGACCTATTTAGCCACATAAAGCTTTTAAAGAATGAAGACTAAAAAGCAAACAACAAAAAAAATCCACTGATTTATCTTTCTACTCCCTTTGTTAAAAGAATCTCCAAGGTGTTTTTAATTAAAAGCAAACAAGCAAACAATAAAACAAAACACCCCCTCCACATTTTCCTTTGACTTAACAATCTCCCCCTCTCCCTCCCTTAACCCAGAAATGACTACCCTTAGATAATTCGAGCCCTGTATGCCTTTGTAAAATATGACTCACATTAGCATCAATGAGAGCTGTGTGACTAAGACTTTTCAAGTTGCTTTGGGGTCACAGGATTAACAGCCTAAGAGCATGAGTTTGCTAACAAACATTAAACATGAAGAACAACTACTATTCAAATTTCATCTCTTTTATCTTGCCTGTACATACCTTTTCTCTTTGATATTCTCTGAATATTACAGCAATGGTTGCAAGACATGGGTGGCACAGAAACCAGAGAATGCAGGCCTAAAAAAGAAGATGAGTGTAAGCTGTAAAATGACTACATGCCAGCTTAGAAGAAAGAGATGACAGTTACAGGAACTACATCTGTCTATTTTATGAACCCATTGTTTAATTTTCAATCAACATAACGAAAACCACACAATGAAAGGTGGGATTTCTGTTTTAAAAAGCTCTAAACTCCTTGTCAAATTAAAATGCCTGCTTCAGAGTATGATGACAGGGTGCAATGTAATCAAGTCAGACACTTTCTTATGGAGGGAAAGAGTTTAGTGCTTCAGTCAACTGCATGCCACAATTGTATTTACAGACGAAGGGATCAGTTTGCTTGATGTAACCCATACCTTGGCAAAGGTGATGTAGAACTCCCTTTTCAGTGTGCTTCTCTCCACTGTGATAATCTGGTACAGCCCAGCAGCCAGGGACAGAGCTAGGCAGACTCTGAGGCCAATGAGCAGCCCGCTCGCCAAGCCATGGTGTGAATGGTAGCTGTGGTGATTTGTATCTTCAAACTGCTCCCAAATTAACAAAAAGCTCTGAAAAGGAACAACAGCAAAGTGCACTTAGAGTAAACCAGCTTACATTAACTCTCAACTAACCTTCCTGTCACAGATTAAGTTATCTGGTAATGCTCCAGTCTACTTGTTAGGGACTGCCATCCTAAGCAAAAAAATCCAACAAACCCTAGTCTGAAATGCTTTTTGCTGTGACCTATTACTTCAACTGCAACTGGCAGGAACAGAGCTCTCACTTCTTGGATTCTGTAACTTTTAGAAATCTTGACAAGTTAAAGTTTCCTCTAATGTGGATAGAGGGAATGTAGCACCTTAGAAAAAAAAATGTGAAATAATCACCTGCACACTCATCCCACTCTGCAGGAAGACCACTGAAATGATTTCACAGAGCTACAGGGAGGTGTCTCCTTTCACTTGTGATCCACAACCTGTAAAGCTTGTTTCAAAGGCAGGCGACTACGCCTTTTCTTTCAAAATCCTAACAGGATTCACTTTTCTTTTCAAAGATGGGGAAGTAAGAGGGTGGTGCTGCTGCCCCTTTTATACAATAGCCTTAAGGCTCAAGCATTCACCCAGGTTGAACTTGGATCTCCCACAATTCCCTTCTTTGCCTAAAGGATATCCAATTCACATCTCCCACCTCCTTGGAGAGTGCTGCAACTGCCAGGCTATAGGGTGTTCTTGGGTGGGCCACTCTCCACCCCTTCTATTGAAGCTGTGCCATTGTGGAGAAAAGAATTCAGCATCAGCTAGGTCAGAAACTGTGAGCGAGCCTGACTCTGCAAACACCTGGCTCAGAAACCTCCTAGGGTCTAGGAAAGGGAGTGTCACAGGCTCCAAATGCCATTCCAACATCTGGCCGAGCACTCCAGCCAACAGATAACTACATAAAAGATAGTAACCCCCTTCTTAACTCCCAGCATTGTATCCATCTGCTGTGGAATCCCATTTTCTGGGAGCACTGTGAGAAACAATATTGATATTCTCCAAGGAAAAACAGACTAACAAGCACCTAGTTTCTGGATTTTAGTTGTGAAGAAGGCCCCAACCAGCTGCATAAAAAAATGTGTCTTGCTGAAGAACACCTTTTCAGGACTTTGGGAATGCTAACATTATAAATTAGAATACACAAAGTTTAGACTCTCAGAGCATCATGTAGCAGCTGAATGGCATTTTATAACTTGAATATACACTGGAATCCAGTCCACCTACTGCACATATCTAACTTGCACTGAGGCTTCAGGTGCCTAATAAAGCAGGTTTTTAAAAGAAAAGTAGGCAAATTTGATGAGTGAAGTAGCTCTGAAGGCCTTCAGAAGCAGACATTGTATGGCTCAATTTAGAAATATAAATTAGTCAAATTCCTTTCTGAACACATTCAAAGGCTTTCTCACTATATAAAGACAAAAAGGTTCCTAATATTAACTTTTAAAAAAATGTGTAATCGACCTGAGCCTCCCAAAGGTGGGTGGCCTTGAGTCTCATCAGTTGAGTATTAGAATAATTTGTGCTAAGAATATCCTCAGAGTACTCTCCTCCTTTCCCCCTCCCTTACCTAAGGGGGACACAGCCCTGTCATTTCACAGCTGCTCTCACTTCAGTCACTCCTCAACCACCTGGATGGAAAATGGAAGGATGGGAGAGGGACAGACACAAAGCATGCATGTTTTCAACATCATGGACTACTAGCACACAATCTAACCAACAGGCTTTGAATGTTCTAACCATAATGATCAGAAAAAGAGTGATTTCAAGCAAACATCTTCAAATGATCAAGTTACTTGACTGAGAATTCTGTCAGAGAGTAAGACTGAAGTAAGGCTAAACTGCTCCTGAATCCCTGAGATACAGCACAGTGTTTGGTAACGTTGTGTCTACAGCACTAGTTTTGGCATGAAATTGATGAATTCCTATCACAGAAGTTATTTCAGTCCAGTTAGAACATGCTTAGACAACGAACAACGGTTCTACCAGTTACAGAATCACTGCAGTTTTGTGAGCATTTTCCCTTTTGATATTTACATTTGGGAATAGCCAAAATATTTAACTTCCCTGGACTGTACATATTCTCCTTGAGAAAATAAAAGGCTCCCTGAACTTATGTATAGAATCTTCCTGACTCAAGCATCTGGGGGGAAGCCATACAGGCTGATGGAGACAGAACTGTGATACTGCTCTACGAAAATATCACTGGAACCTACCTTACCTTAAAAGCCAGAGCTCATGAAGGCCTGAATTTTCCTTAGTCTACACCAAGAGTAACAGCAAAGAAAAAAGGCACTTTCATGGGAAGATGACAAAGAGCTGAGTAAAGGGATCATGAGAACAAAGCCCAAGTCCTCATAGGATAATAGTGTCTGAGAGCAGAGTGTGTTCTGGACCAGCCCTTTAAAGAGTGTAAACAACACAACATCAGTTGATCAAAGGCTGTGTATGGTGACAGGAATGTGAGATCACAGAAGTCCAGTTTCTTTCAGCTTCATTAGATTTTTCCAAAATAAGCAGAAGGCAGAGGTGTTAGAGGCAGAGATGCAACTGTCAGTGCAGCACAGTGTAAACTTGGACAAAGTATCATTGCCCTTTCTATGAGCTGGGGCTGTTCTCACTTACCTGGGAAAAGCAGGATCCCACAGAAAACTGTGCGTTCAAGTGTTTCTAGGGAAAAATGGACTAGGCAATCTATTTTCAATGAAGAAAAACCTTCATAGACAAGCATGATGTTGAAGTTAAAATCTCTTTGATTGTGAAATAAAAAAAAAAATTAAAATTTGAGAAATCGAGGTCAAGGAACCCTAAGGTCCCTTACCTTGACCACAGAAAGGCAAGTATCAGCTCACTTAGCTGCAATATCAGGAACAAACTTAAAAACACCAGACATCAACCTGCTGAAGTAGACATCAGAGACCTCTTTTGTTTGCAGTGAGTAGAATTATGTTTGAGGTCTGAGAAGAAATCAGGGGGGACAATTCTAATTGTTATCCAGAAGAACAACTGTGCTTAGGCTGTAGACAAAAGAACTGGATGACAGAGGAAGCTAAAGAGCTGACTCACACTATGCTATGTCCAATATTAAAGTCACTGCTTCTTCATAAGATGAAACAGAATGACCATCTCCTTGTTTACATAACACACTGTTCAAAATGCCTGACTTTACCTGTATATAATCCTGACCTATCCTGGCTCACAGGGGACATGAACCACTGTCCAGTACTGGCCTTCCTCTTCAAATACTAGAGGAATAGTGGCCACAGATATCATCCTGATGTTCCAGATATACAAGCAGAACCTCCACATCCATATGAAGAAGAACTCTTCCTTTATGTCATGAGAAAACAGTTATGGTAGAACTCCTCCTTCCCTTCATGATGCCAACACTGACTTTATGACAGGCCGAGATAAGGTATCAATCTCCAGCAAAGACAGGTTCTCATGGGACAGATCACCCCTGAGAGGCAAGGGGAAGGGGGAAGCAAAAGGGAAATTAGAAGGAGCAGCAAGGCAAACTAGCTGTTTCCAACCATATCTAGTATACTGAGTTATCAGACGTCATGCAATGCAGTACAGCAAAAAATGGTTTAGATCTAAGGTCAGAGGCAGAGCTCATTCTGAGCACACCTAAGAACCCCTGTGTAGGGTGATGTCTAATGCAGTAAGATTCTATGCCATTTTCATCAGGTTCAGAGCAATCAGCTATCTTTCCAGAATCATTGCCTACAGTCTGATCAGCCTTGAAAGTTGAAACTGCTCAGGTCTATGTGATGGGAAGGGCCTGCCATCAATAAAGTTCTGTACAAGGTTTGTGATTCAGCAGCAGAAAGTGGAATTTTTAATGAATGCACAGCAGCCTGTGAATCTTTTATTCTGTGGCTGAAATAAAGAACAAGTTAAGGCAAAGGGAGATGCTAAATGGCAGACTTGTCCCTCCTTTGAGATGTTACCTCTTTGCAGCTGCAAAGACCACAAGACATTTGCTGACTAGGAGGCTGTGTCCACCTGACACTGAAGGCAACCCATGAACATAGCCCAGGAAATTGCTAGTGCTTCTGAAAGAACAATAAGAAAAAATCCATAGCATCAGTACCAAGAGGAAAAAAAACCCTGAAAATCTGCTGAGCAATTTGAACTAGTAGTAGGCAAACAGGCTCAGATAGCTTGCATTTAAGTTGAAGAACAACATGTTTTCTCAGGCTGTCCACTTTCTTGACTTCCCTGAAGATGAGGACAGGTATGGGAGAATGTCAGTAAAACTAACATGGTGCAACCTCTATCTGCTGCATTAGGTTAATGCACATAGTTTCCAGCAGCCTCCACAGCAAGTCCTCAGAACAACTCTGATTATCCACATGAAGTTTGTCCAATCTCTGGCATAAGAGGAAGCTGGTTCCCCTACAAGAATCTCTGGGAAAGATCAGAACAGGAAGAAGGTTATTCCAGGTTTTTAGCCATTAAAAGGGCCAATTGAGTGTTTATAGCAGGTCAAACATCCATGTCAATCTAGACAGACCAGTGAAAAACTGTCTAAATCCTGTTTCCCTGAGCCCAACAACTGCACTCTGTAATTAGGAGAACAAATCTGACAGAAGGTGTATTTTGTATGTACTGAACCATGAGATGGAAAATATCCTCTCCAGAAGGGATACTCTTGGTGTGAGGGAAATTTTGCTGGAGACGGTAAACACTGATATGGAGGTGCAAAACTACTTAGGCAATGACATATTCCAATATCCAGATTGTGTTCTGACAAGACTACTGCCAAACCTGACAATCCCAATGGTACAGAAGGAGATGTAGTAGAACTGTGCCTTACTTGTGAAAAGTAAGACAGACAACTGTGTGCTAATGCAGCTCCAGTGCTGCTCCAAGAACCAAAAGATGTCTAATGGACCAGTCTTTGGGGAAGCAGCTCACATGTATGATGCCTGCCCCACTTTTACCATAAGTAACAACCAAAATAAGATCAAGCTGATTATACTGTCTTTTCTATGTATAGTAAAGGGAAACAACAATGAAAAAAAGTTTCCAGTCTCAAGCAGCAGAGTACTAACATACCCATACATATGCACAAGTGCAGAATGAAATTAAATACTTTAGAAGTCTTCTTTACTACCAGCATGTAAAATTTCTGGTGCTGGATAGGTTCATTCCACCTTACTTTGACACCCATCTTTAAATTTCAACAGTCCCATTGACCTTAACAGCCTTTGGTTTATATTCTTAATTAGCAAGAAATGCCAGCTGCCAGCTACTCTTAATGTTCTAGAAGTCCACTTATTTAGTTTAGAAGCAGCACTAATTACAGATACTACCCAAATGGCACAAAAATCTTCAGTATAATCTCTTCCTCATTACTGTCTCCAGTTTCTCCCTGCTCTTCTCTTTCTCAATGGTTTTCAGATTCTCGTCTTTATGATGTGATTTAAAAAAATTTGTTTACAAAAGGCACCACCAGGGTTGAATGATTTCCATTACAATTTACTTTTAACTTACTGGTTTACTTAACTTTCTAATTTATACTAATGGAAAATATTTGAATGAAATTATGTGTCAGACCATTTGTATATTTGCAAGACGAATCCTGCACATGAACCTTTCAAGAATTCCCTTCCTTTTATTGATTGAAAGGACCATTAGACATTCTACTTGAGTGCTTCCAAAAGGAGGGCACTGATGATTTCCGTGGTTTCATGACAAAGACTTTGTCACAGCAACTTTTTTTGTCCTTCCTCCCATGCTGCTGGTTGTCAACCTGCATAATGTAGTTCACAATGCCTCAGCTGTACTGATTATAACTATTTATAGGACCACATTGCAAATCAGATCAATAAAATGACTGTGTAAAAAAATTTTTTTTTACTTTTTTTTTTTCAGTCTAGGTTGTTCCAGTAATCTGGTTCACAGTATAATGCTACAAACAATTGGCACAATCAGGAGTTTGGGAAACTGTGGGAACTTCTTAAGTGGTTTTACTGCTAGACAAAAACATACTGTGGAGCTACATCTTAAATTGTTCAAGTAAAGAGAAGGTGGTGTTACCTATTAGACATACTGGGTGCACATTATGCTGTGGGCTTTTTTCCAGTCTTGATACTCCTCCCTCCCTCATAAAATTAAAATATTGAAATTATTTGGTTCACAGTTCTGTCATACTTAATAGCAGCTGTATACTTCAGTGTAAGAAAGAATATGAAATGCAAACCTGTGTAACAACAACTACTACAGCAATGCCAGTAGACGCTGGACTGGAATCCCACTGAAGAGGTCTGCCATGAGATTTCTTCATTCTGCCTATTGTCCAACCCATACACAGACTCAACAATAAGTACAGCATCTGTATCTGTGAGATTATGTCACACACTATTGAAAACAAAAGGAAAAGGAATAAAATTACAACCAAAATAAAGTTTTGGTTTTTTCCTATATCAAAGAGAAATGTTCTATATACCCGCAAATGAACGATGGATACTTATGCCTCTGTATCACCTTTTAATTTTGATGAGTTAGATTAGATGAGGTTGCTTTGCCACAAAATCTGGCTATTTTGTGGAGTTTTCAGTGACCAAACAGATCACTATCAAGCTTTCCTGCAGTTATGCTGCAGATCTGCAAGAACATAGGCACAGTGCCATGTCTTTCCAAATCCCACTCTTGTGTCAGAGTAGTCTGGGCTCAGGAGTCCATCTGCATAAATAGACTTATAAATGCTAAAGAACTAAAATCATATGTATGTTAATCATAGTGCAAATATGCAACATGATGAAATGAACTTCTTTCTTCACTCTGAAGAACTTTTGTTCAAAAATCAGATAGTTATATTGTACTTTGAATTAATTGCACTTTGTCTTGAGGATGTAGTAGCTTCCAGAAGAAAGCACAAATATTTAGGACAAATTCCACTCTGAGGTACTTAAAGGGGAAAATATAATGAATAACCCTAACACAAACTTCATTTAGATCAACAACTTGTCTGTATTTCATTTTATTAAATGCAAAGTACCTTTACCTCATTTTGCTATGTCCATTTTTACCTCTGTTTGGGAACAATTAACACATACTCCATAAAGTTACATTCTTAATCAGTGTCTCAAACTTGTGCTTAAAGCTGCATCAGAATAAAGAAAACTTTAAGCTAGGATATATTAAAGCCTTTATTTGTAGGCTTGCTGCAGCACTACTGACAGTAGAAAAACCTGAAGATTCCTTTCTGGGTAATTGTTAGCTTTAGACCTAGTAAGTTTTTGACTTAATGAACAATTTTAAAGATGGTGTTGGGATCTGACTCATTGTACTGGCATAGCAGAGATGTAAAAGAAAAATAGATTCTTACACTATGTATACTGTAAATTTGGTTCAGAAGCTAGAGATGGGACACTACACACAGCAATGCTTTCTTTTTAGCTCCATTAATGTTTTAGTTCACTTAAATTTGTTCCTTATTTGTAATTTTCACTTACACTATCAGGTACAAGAATAATATTTCTGTCACAAAAAAAGCAAAGCTCTACTTTTAGACAACTGGACTGTATTAAAAAAGATAAATACTACATTTACTAAAGATATTGGCACAGGAAATGTTGCTACTGTACAGAAATTAATATGGATACAAGGGAAGCATATCAAAAGAAGATCTACAATATTTCCCTGACATCCAGCAATATTAGCAAAATAAAGAGTATAAATCAGACTTCAGAATGTAATTCCTGGGATATGCTTGGTATTCTCAGAGTTTACATGCTTAAATGTTTCTTAATGTATTAAGACACCTTTGCTATTTAAGATCTGTCAAGAACTTTTAGTAAATACAAAATTGGAAATTCTTTAATAAAATCAACCAGCGCTGATTTTGGGAAAAAAAATGATCATGGAGTTATTTTCCAATGCTATCTTATTGAGAGACAGTACTCACTAGAAAAATAAATTGCTATATGAACCAAAGGCATGCCAAACCAGTGTCACAAATCTAAACTAGAAAAATGACTGAATAATTCTGTGTGTTCTAGGGAGCATTTTCTTTTCTGTCATTCCTTAAGATAAGCTGCCCTATTATAGCCAGACATCATCTCTCCATCATATCATGGATATAGCTACTGCTCTGCTTCAGTGTGGTAACAATTCAAGTGGATTCTCACATAAATTTGTGTAAGACAAAAATCCACAACCAGCTTTAATCTGTGACATCCTATACATTGTGCTGGAAAGAAAAAGGGTAAGAAAAATTTTAAAGATTCGAATAATCTCACAATATTCAATGTCAGTGTAAAGTCACATTACTGAGCTGATACCAATTGTCTGATTTCATCACAGTTCACCTTTTTTGACTATTCAACAGACACAATAATGGTCTTTGACTCTTCACATTTTATTTTTACCAAAAGTTAAAACAACAGCATTTGCAATGCTTCTGAGTGCCAGCATTATTTGTGTGATTTATGAGATTGGATTAGGTGGTTAACTAGACTGAGGATCAGCTCTTTATACATGGCAAAGACTACATCATACTAGGAAAAAATAATTGCTTGAGATGGTACCTGAACAGGTTTTTAGAAAGATATTCTGGCCAAACTGCAATTAATAGAAATTTTAACATTGATTTTTAACTCAAATTTCTGCTCCCATATAGGAAAAATGGTATCATCTTTCTCCTTCAAACTATACTACTTGCCATCAGCCATTCTTCAGAACTGCAATTGCTACTGAAGCTTTCCACATTTTTATTACTTCAGCTCTCTTACTGTTTTGGAAACCACCAACTTCAGAGACAGTAAGAAAGTAAAAACTTTCTTAGCGGAATTTAAGAAATTCAGCTACTGATTCAAAAATAATATTCATTATAATCTTATATAAATAAAAGTGGGATTTTTGACTACAACACATATACAAAAAAAAAGAAATCTAACATGAAGCTATTCTCTCAAGTTCTGGCTGGATAGTTAACACTGAGGTGGAGTTATGACTACCTTCATATTCTCCATTTTATTTCATTTCATAAGATGAGATGAGAAGGAATGTTTAATTACACAGCTGCTGGAGTGGCTGCAAGGAGCTGCCAGCTCAAATGGTTAAAACAAGAAAGAGGCAATTATTGTGGTGCCAGGTGCCATCAAGAGGCTGATAATTCCAACTGCAGCCTTCTAAATGAACTCTGCAAAGGGGAATATTTCTCTGTATAGGCTGTTACTCCCCAAAACTATCACACTACTGCAGCACTACTTTCTTGGAGTGCTTTAAGCCAGTCAAAAGGAAATGTATTTACTTGGAATGAACCCCCAATTCTTCAAAGGTGAACTGCAGGACAAAAACCCCCAAACTATCCAACAACAATGGAGAATGAAGAATGGAACAAGATTAAGTTAGTGCATTTTTGAAAGGTATGCTACAGGAATTTAGTTCCAGTGAGAACTTGGAATCTATACAGAGTGGAGAAAAATGCTTTGTTAGCATCAAACATTCACATAAGCATTTTTTGCATCATGATAATCATAAGATTTGTGCTGTAAAATACTTTTCCATTTAATAATTGTTGAATTTGTCAGTGAAATAACAAATTCTATAAAATATGATTAAGCTTCCTAAAAAGCTTGGCTTTCTAGATCTAACTCAACAAAACTCTTCAATGTACTGAAAGACCTGCTCAGGTGATATTCATGTCTTTAAGTGCTTGTAGTAAGGAATCTAGAGATAAAAAAAACGTTTGAAAAATCCTAAACAATATCACAGATGTGTAACTTCAAATACAGTTATTGTAAACACATAAAACAATTTTTTTTTCTGAAGGAGCAATTTTTAGTATTTTATATTGAAAATCAAACAATGTGATCCAATATCATAGTATAGTCCAGCAACAGCATTTGCTATGTATTATACAGATGCATGGGTAGGAATATGTAAGAAACAGAGGACAGACTCACATTCTGCCAGACTTCCCATAAAAGGAGCTCCTATCCCATCTCTAGAATAACTGAAACAAGAACAAAAAGATTGCATTTTTAAGTGGGTGTGTCTTAAATGGGTGTTCTCTCTCACAAGTACATTTAGATAATGACGCAGTTGAAAAGTCAGTCCTGTATTTTGCCACAATCCCTCCCAGGCAAATCATGTACTGATCTTCACAACACATTGCTCTTAAAGACTAAAGACTGAAAGCAGAAAGAATCAAAGGTACCTTGAGAAATGCAGGTAGTTGGCAAATGCTGAACCAGCCTGCAACAGTAATGCAATTGTCAACACCTTTAATACACCATGCATAGGTCCACGCTTCCTAATTGTTTGCCACAGGGATTGTGCATATATGCATGCAGTTATGAAGTATGCTAGGACAAGCAGGAAAAAGAATTCATGTAATCCTGTGGAAAAAAAAAATACAGCTTAGTTTTACAAAGAAAAGTTGCTACTAGGAGCAAGTAACTAAAAAAAATCCAAAACAGTGGGTTTTCTTTAATACAATCATTGGGAAATACTTAACAACTGTTACCCAAAAGTGATAGTACACATAAAAGGTCTAAATCCTAGTCAATTTTATCCAAGAAAATCAGAATTTTATCAAAGAACTGATTATTATTTGATCTGGCAAAGTGTTTTTAATCAACAATACCTTTTCTGAGCAGAGAGGTTTGCAGCAATTACCAGACTAGTATAAAGTGCACAGTTTCTTGATACACACAAAACAATTGTAGCTCATTTGTTCAGTAAGTAACATATTTATTAAAGGACTCATTTTTAGCTCCTTCTGCTTGTTTGTTTGATTCCATAAAGGCACAATCTGAGGTGAGAGAAACCCCAAACAGACTTCTGTTTAATCTTTTTAACCACTGGGTGTCACCCTTCCTCCACATAAAGCAGCTTAAGAAGCACAGCTGATCAAGTCTGAAAACCTGAGATAAAGTAGCACAGAAAACAGTAATTCATTCTTAGCATGCATTTTTTGCACTTGTCTAAAAAAAATTTCCCCCAATTTTTTTAGATTATTTATAAAACTGAAGTCCTCTAATCTAATTTTCAGTCTGGCAGTAGTCTGGTAGAATGCTTCCCTTAAGACCTGGAAATCTTTTCTATTGTCAGTAAGCTTGGCAACCCATCAGGAGCTCCCCAAGGGTCAAAGCCAGTGAGATATAAGCAAAAACAGGTTAGCAAACACTTCTCTCAGAAAACTTTTTTTTCATTCTCTAACCTTCTTTGAAATTTAGTGGTGCCCATAGAATCAGATTCTAAAAAAAGCTTTTTCTCCAGCAGCAAAATAACTCTGGTAAAAGCTCCCAGCCACCTCCCCCCAGAGATTGGGAAGAGCAAGTATACACATTTTAATATCTGAGCTGAAAAACATTAGAACTGGATGAGTTCTGAATAGTAGCTAGCATTATAGCTTCTGTGACTGAAATGAAGCATTTTGGACATACACACAGGAAAATGGGAGAAAAAGAGCTTAAGGTAATTAAGAGGATTAAAAATTCCAGGCCACTCTGCTTCTCTTGTACACCAATATATGAGCATGAGTTATCAATGACAAATCCATCTATGTGGTATAGATCAAATCCTTCTTTCTGCTTCAGAAGATACCCACTGAAGCTGGCAAAGACCATATAAGTAAAAGTTATTTCTCACCGTGAGGAGTGAGAACCCTTGGAAAACTCTTTAGGAAAATCAACTAGCTTTTAGCAGACACTAAGCATTTATGATTCCTTCCAGCCATAGGGAGAGTGTAGATTATTGGTTTGAGACCAAAAGGCTTAGGAGAAAGCTGCACTGAAAACCCACAATAAAAAATACAATTTTCAACCTATCTCCTCTAAGTTTCCTGACTTTCAAGGAACCTAGCTGACAGACAAAGTAAAATATTACATGAAATATCTTACTTCAAAGCTCTCCAAAATGCCACCTGTTCATCTGCCTTTAGAAACCCTGGATTCCACTGACACAATGTCTTATGTAGAAGACCCTACCATATAAAATAAGACTATTTGCCAGGGATTAGAAGTCAGGCCCCCTCATCTCTGAAGGCAAATGTCTTAATCACAAGCCTCCTAAGTTCTCTCTCATGCTTTCCTTCTTATTAATTTAATTTTTGAGATGTTCTGTGCCAGGCCACAGCCTAAAGTAATTCAAGTGAAGGAAGACCTAACTAAAACCTTCTGCAATTACAGAATTTTTAGTTGCCTGCATGAAATATGCAAGAAACGAAGCTGGATCTTCTCTCTGATACCCTCTCATTCTAAGTTTCTGTGGAAAAATAGCAAAGATTATTTCCCAGAGATGCATTAATTTAAATTAAAAAAGAGAAAAACAGAGAGATTAAATGCTCCTCAGCTCTTTGAAAGTAGACCAGTGCACATAGCTTCAGGATTCATGGCAACAATGCAGGTTTTAATTCTGAATTAACAGAAGTGTTCTTCTGCAACTCTGAAAGACATGGCATGTACAGCTCACCTTGCTTCCTACTTGTTAGACTGAAATACATACATCCAGCACATTTACACACCTCCTTACTCAGCACATAAACTATTCAGAGTTCTGCTTCCCAGTGCTCAGTCTTCCTACAAAATTAATACAGAGCTGAGATGCCTCTGTAGGAGGTCTCTACATCACTTTAGTGGGCCATATAATGCCATGTAGCTGCTTTGCCCCTTGACTTAGCAATTACTCCTTTAGTTATTACTCCTCTTTGAGAGTAAGTAAATTAACCTAGAATTCACTTCTGAAGGCCAAATTCACCAAATAAAAACTAGAAAGTTTATAGAACTTAAGAAGTTAAAGAGAGAGGTTAGGTCTGATTATGAGCCTTGAAATCCAGATTAATAATGTGCTACTTTCTTGCAGATTCTGCAAAGAATATTCCAGGGAATATTTTCTTCCTTTCAAAAACGGAGTTGTATTTGTTGCTTCTATATTCTCTTGAGGTCATGCGTGTCAGCAGGGCATTTGATTCTGAGCACAGCAATTAGGCTCATCCTTGGTATATTCAGGTTTTAGGCCTATCCTTGGTATATTCAGGCTCTCTCTGTATAGGAAGGCAGACTAAGCCTTCAGAGCCCTTTCCTCACAACAGACCCAGGTGAGTGACATGTTGATGAGGCCTCAACATCTCAAAGAGCAGTGATGCTATTCACTGCAACCAAGAATACATGAAGCTGGATTGTCCAAAGCATACAATTTTATACAGGCATTTCTTTAGCTGCTGTCTTGAGTTTTTCTTTGGATGCTTAAAGATTTAAAATTACATTTCTTAATTATAACAAAATCAGGCCTGACAAAGCTAATATACAGCCTGTGACTAAGATACTTATAAAGATCTAAACACTGAACTGAAATTGTACTGGTAAAATGTTTTACCATGCATGTACTCTTGTTGCAGAGAATCAAGTTTCACACATTTAAGGAATTTCACTAATTAATTAAAATCAGGTATTAAGTTTACATTCAAGTGGAAGATTACAATTTCAACATGTTCAAAATACCTATCAGCAAGGATTTAACACTGACTTTCCTTGTGCATCTACACTTCTAGTTAGGCAAGTTTTGCAAAGTCAATCTGGGGAAAAGAAAGGATTTTTCTGTGATGACAGAAAACGAACTCAAGTTTACTCTTTCTAAAAAAACAGAATATGAAATAAAAGAGGCTCTGCTATCCACTCCCCATACTCTTCCAAGCACAGTAAGTACTGATTTGAGTTATCAGATCCTTAACTTATAAATCTAATTTTAAGAAAAAAAATCTTACCAGATTCCCCTGCGCTAAAGTGATCTAATGGATTCCCTTCTGCATCTGGGTTTAGTAAGACCATTTCAAACTGAATATCCTCGGATTCAGAATAATTCTCTTCGCAGGTAAACTTGTCTACATAAAACACATACCATGTTTCCGGATAAGGAATCTGGGACACTGTCAGATTTTGCTCTGTGTGGTTCACAGTCACTTTGGAAAAAAGCACAAAAAAACAAAAATAGGAGTAAATACTTGATTAGTTTGGCTTTAGAAAACACATGCTTGAATGAAGATAAAACTTAAATCCACAGCATCGTATAGAGGTTATAAACTACACACAGTAGAAAACACAGTGAGTTTTGAAAGCTATCCATAACACCAGAGAGCAGACCTCCAACTTCAGCTTTTGTTTCAAGTAGGTGCGGGCAAGGACTGGGGAGGACACTGCATCCCACCCTTCAGCTCTGCTGGGAGGGTTCCCTCCTTCTAGAAGCCAGAAAGGGCAAACTATGTTCTTGGCTTAGCATTTTCCATCCTTTAGTTCTGTACTGACAGGATTAGCTGTTCTCTACTACTCACCAGGTACTTCTGCAGCATGAAAAATACCTTTATGAATTTATTTGAGTTTGCTTTTGAAGAGATTTACAACATCAAAGAGGAACAGCTGCATGTGAGCTCAGTAAACAATACCATGGCATGCTTAAAAGGTGCAAATCAGTATTATTTCACAGGATCTTCCCCAAACTGTAATATACTGATTTTCGATTGACAGCTAAGGTCTGAAACCATTGTGTAATCAAACTACCCATTTCAAATCAGATTACATTTAAAAATGACTACATAAGATACTCATGTTTCATCTTCTTGCTGTCTTACCACTATTTTTGCCTGAAAACAACAGTCAACCAAGCACAGTCTCTTCAAAACAAACTCTTGATGCAAATGAAACCTGTGGCTCCCTATGTTTGGCTGAAACTGCAAGAAACAAAAGCACTGTCACACTGGCTACTGAACTTGAGGGCTAATCAGCTCAATCATTTCTCTGCAGGAGAAATAACAATAACAGAATAATTCACCTTAACACACATAAAAATAGCAATGGCTAAGGATGAAGAAAAAATTTAATAAAAAATCCACAAAACATGTTTGTTTTTTTTTTTTTGTGAAGGGCCTTTCTAAATAAGAGCTGCAAACATACAACCTCATTTTCCCTAAATATTTTGTAGACAAAATTTAGAACAAGTTTTTAACTTGAAGCCAACCTGTAAAAAACTTCAATGTAATTCCAATAAACGTGTTTCAACTACAAGAAGTTATTTTCTGTTCTCTTCAGGTATGAACTGAGCAACATTAGAATCCAGGAAGAATTGTAGTGTATGTGTCCTTGCAGCAACTGTCATGAGGTACAGATTTGGATGACACACAAACCAGTATTGCATATGGTGCTTAATCCAAATGAGAGGCAAACTGAGGCTGACAGGAGTGGCTTTATTCCCCATGTCACCTCTCAGCTGAGTTCTGACACTGTTATTTGTGCCAAGAGTACGGGATTACACAGTGCGTTTAATCAGTTCCCTCTCAATCTGTAAGCAGACTCAGAGGTAGAAAAGCAACTGATATTGTCCAAGATCAGCAAAGAAATCCAACTCACCCTGTGGTCACACAACTCCTAATGGAGCAGAAAACAGTGAGTACACTACTGGGACAAGTCAGGAACAACAGACCAACTGCCAGTTATTCCAGCAGCACTTCTGTCCAGCTCTGATGAAGGGTAAGGAAACCACATCCCTACAAGTGACATCTGTGTAAGGTTTCATTATGACAAATGATCGATCTGTTACTCTTGGGATTCTGACTGCACAAAGGAAATGTATTTAAAAGAGAAGCTTAAGTCACTTAAAACACATTTGAATGGAGAGTCTAACACTAATTTACCTTCTTAGAGGAAAATTTATGCTTTGAGTACCACTATGATAAACAAATGGTGCAAAAATTATTTGTCTGTCTTCTAGTTACATAACTCAATGCTTCAGTGTTTTACTATTCTTTCACATTTAGATGGATACTCAAGTTTAGTTTTATCTTGATTAGCTCACCTTTAATACTGTATTAAAATTTTTCTAGCATGTTTTATACATCGAAGCATGACAGATTTGTGCTGCCATGAAAATATAATTTTATTTTTGTTTTCTCTGCTTTGAAAAATGCCATTTCCATGGAACTGGAGAATGGGAGCCTCCTAACAAGTGAGAAATGTTCCTTTGTAAACAAGAGACAAAAAGACAATCTACATATTCTAATCTGGTATAACTCTTAGCTCAAACATTAAAAACAGCTGAATGTGAGATTCAGTAACAAATATCAAGTTATAAAAGTAAAGGGTGAAATAGCATTAAGGAGGGAAGTTATAAAGTAAGGTAGTATGATGCAGATTAATTTTTGTAGAGAATAAAGACTTATTATGAGGTAGTGAAAGAGAAGGTTTATAGGTACAAAATTACCCTTTTACTTTGTACTTGGCCTACACACTCCCACCTTACAAGCATTTGTTTCAGAAGTTTAGAGGCAACTGCAGCAGGTTCCATCACTTTGCCTCTAGTTTGTTTTTCATTCCACTGCAATGAAAGTCACAATTCAAACACAAACGAGTCACAACTCAAACAAGTCAAACATCTGACTGTCCGAAACATCCAGCTTCTTTAGTTCTTCAGTTTCTTAGTACAAGGGTATTCTTTGCAAATTCTCTCTCATACCCAAGATAATCTATTTTATGGAAATTTTGAGATTAAAAAACCAAACAAAAAGACATTTATTCCAAGCAGAGCTAAAAAAATTCTCTGTACTGAATGACTAAATGAAAACTTCAGTCAAGTATGTACCCTTTCTGAGTTGTGAACATGTCAAAGCATGAACTGGAACTGGTCATGAAGTTTGGCTGTTTCCACTAAAGCCATTGTTTGTCATGGACTTCATTTTCCAGTAGCACATTAAATCATAACTTGCAAACAAATTCTTCTGAAGTGATACAAAGAAAGAAATTTTATTTCCTTGTAGTATTTTTAATTGCAGAAGACCAAAGTCCTGGTCGATGCAAAGCTTAAATTCACTGAAATGAATATTCTAAACACATAGATAACTTAACAGAGTTCTAAATACACAGTAATGCTGTAAGGAGAAAAAAAAACAGTAACTCACTTGTCAGCTGAGCTTTAGAGAACTTCTCTGTACAGCTGTGGTCTTGGACACTGTTCTCCAGCTTCTGCCATTCCTGTGCTTGAAAGAGGTGAAGTCTAGCTGCTTTTGCCACAGCTACTGCTACATTCTTGATTCTGACACACAGAACAGCATGGTCACCTTAATATTTAAAAAACAAAATCAACTATTCTGTCTTGATGTCAGTTACAAGCAAACAGTGTGGCACAGATTTTTCTTGTACTTAGCTGCAACACACCTTCATATTATCCTTAATTTTTTACCACTACTTCCTGCTAGAAGTATTTATGGTCTTTCAGGAACAATTTCTATGTCTCTCATTAAGAAACCAGTGAATGTGCAATCATCTATGATAGTACTTAAACAAACCTTAACTATAGCACAAGTGTCATTAACCTTCACTACTACAAACAGCCTTCACTCTCCCCTCTTTTCTAAAACAGACTTCCAGATAATGTTTTTCCCCCTTCCTCCCTCCCACCCCAAATTTTATTGTTTTCAAGTTAAAGACAGTGCCTCAATAGTCTCAATATCTTGTTCAAAGTCTAGTAGTTTATGATCTCTGTGGAATGACTATGAGCATCGCAGGGTAGCTCTTAAGTCTAACACCAGAACAACTTATGTGAAAGGACTTTCATGTTATGGGTGGATTACAGCAAAAATATTAATTATAGATGACAGATTGATGCAAAGAAAACCAAACTTCAAAAGTGTTCTCGAATGTGTCAGTCTACCTGTAGAATCAGAGAACAGCAGAATGGCCTGGGTTGGAAGGGACTTCAAAGACTACTTAGCTTCCAACCCCTCTGCTGTGGACAGGGACACTTTGCACTAGACCAGGTTGCACAAAGGCCCATCCAGCCTGTCTTTAAAAACTTCCAGGGATGGGGCATCCACAACATCTCTGGGTAATCTGTTCCAGTGCCTCACCACCCTCACCATAAATATTTTATATCTAATCTAATCCTACTTTTTTTTTTTCAGTCTGAAACCATTCTCCCTTGTCTTGACACTATAGGCTGCATCTTGACACACAGAAATATTTTAGCCCTTTTAGAACTAGCTCATTAGACAAAATTTATCTTGCCTGAGTAATTCCACAACCTTCAAACTTGTTGTCATAATTTCTTTCATATACGAAAGTATGAAAGAAGACTAGAGTCATAGACTTTTTAAACCTAGGAGTATCCTAAATTAAAAGGTAGAATTTAATGGAGAAGAAAAGTCAGTAAAATGTTAATGAACTACAGTTTAGCTAAGATTTTGAAATATTAACAGAAGGTTCTAAAGAAACCTTCACCGAGACCCTAAATAGTTGTTGGTATTCATGCAGGAAGAGAAGTATTTCTATGCAAATATGCAACATCAATTTATACAATTATATCTGAACACCTACACCACTCATCTTCAATTTTGACAGTTTTTTCTCAGATTTAAACAGTGCAGTTTTTTCCTTCAGATCTATTTAGAGCACTCGTACAGTTAACTTCTAGGACAGTGCTAATTAACTGCTTTCAAGTCACTTCATAAGCTATCTCCACCCTATCCATCATTCCTCACTCAGTACTGGAAGGTCATGCTCCAACTCTCTTTTGCTTATGTCACGTTCTCCAGTTTCCCGTTAGATTTTGAAGCATGTGCAGAACTGTTCTGCCACGAAGCTCAGTGGGAAAGAAAAACAGCCTAAGCTACTGAAATGCTGAGCACAAAGGAAAAAAAGCAGGCTGACCAGCACAGCCTGGCTGGACACGGCACTTGTCATGGCTACACACATCTCTTTATGTAAAGTAAAACTTCTCTAGCAAGCACAGCGGGCCACTGCTAGGGCTCTTTCAGCAGGATAGCGGTCAGCAATTATTACTAAGTAATTACTGACTAACAGTCAGAAATTATGACTAACAAGGAGTTTTTAACACAGGAAAGAAAAGCCATTGGGAATAACCAGGTGAGAATTTTACATCCTGATGCGCGGTGTCACCAAGACCACACGGCGACGTGAAGACTGCCATTTGGGGCAGTTCCCAGGGGCAAGGAGCGATGCGTGCGGCAGCGAGAGCGCGTCTGCTCTCCGGGACAGCCGGCCGGGAGTGTCCGCACGGGCTGGGGACACGAAGGGAGGTACAGCGCTGCTCTGCTCCGCTCCGAGAGCCACAGCGGGGAGGGGCCGCTGCCAACTGCTGCGCCCAGGGCCGCCCCGCCGCGCTCCGGCCACGTCCTGCTGCCGGCCGGGACCCCCGGCCCCGCCGCGGCGCTGCCCGGACAGCGGATGGGACCTGTTGCACGTCCCGCAGAGGCGGAGAGAGAAGGAGGAAAAGAGGGAAGGAGAGGGAGAGAAGCAGGGGAAGACGGAGAGCTGCAGGGGCTGACCCCGCTCCGCACCTCGCGGCCCCTCCGGCCCCCACCGGTCCCCCCGCGCCCCAACGGCTCCTGACAGCCTCCCCCTTCCCCACGGCGCCGCTCCAGGACGGCACAGCCGCCGCTACCCCGCTCTCCCGCCCTCAGGGCACCCACCGTGGAACTGGAAGTGCGCCACGGGCCGCCACGGCTCCCGGCGGGCGGCGGCGCTAGCGAAGCCGCCCCGCAGCGTCTTGCCCGCGGCGAGGCCCCAGCAGCAGCCGGCGGCGGCGGCGCTGAGCAGCCACAGCAGCCGCCACCGCATCCCCGGAGCCGCCGGACACCGGGATCCTCCTTCCCCCCTCCCGCGCGGCCCCGCCGCGTCACGTGGCGGCCCCCACCGCCTTAGCCGCCAGCGGCGAGAGAGCCAATGAGGGGGCGCGCCCGCCCCTGGGGGCGAGACCGAGCGCCAGGCCCCGCCCCTGCGGCAACGTGTCCCGTTGCCAGGTCTGGCCGTAAGTTGAAAGGGCCAGAGTCGTAAAAGAGACGGCTCGTTGCCGCTGAATGCGGAGGGGGAGTATTGGCCTTTTTCAGGCACCGCGCCCGCCCCGCTGTCAGTGGCCTCCCAGAGGGTGACAGCTCCGCTCTTCGGGCTGCGCGGGGAGCGAGGAAGGCGATCTTCCAATGAACCTCTTGCAGGCGCTGCGACTCTGCCCGTGAAACCCACGGGCGCGTGCCGCTGACGTGCAGCCGTGGGGGACAGGTAGTGAGGGGCTGGTGCCGTAAAGCGCGGACGATGTCGGGGCGGGCGGGCCCCGCGGCGCCGCCGCCGTTCGAGAAGCGGGTCCTGGTGACGGGCGGCGCCGGCTTCATGTGAGTGAGCCCGCGGGGCCGGAGCGGGGGGCCGCCGGTCTCCTGTCCGGGGGCACGGACGAGACGTGGCGGGCGGGGGTTCCGCGGTGCTGCCGCCCTTTGTCCATCCCGGGCCGGTTCCTCGGCGCCGCTGGCTTGGGCCGCGCTCACTCAGGGGCCGCTGGTGGCTCGCCCGTGTCTGGGTTCGGAGGTGGTGAGTGCCGGGGGACGAGCTGGGAGCCTGCCCGCGCCGGCCTTCGCTGCGGCCGGCCAGGAGGGGAAGGAGGGACCGCCTGGCGCTGGTGGTCGGTGCTCGGCCTCGGCCGGGACGGAGCTGCCCAGAGGAAGGCAGCGGAGCTGGGGAAAGGCCTGGAGCACAGACCTTACGGGGAGCGGCTGAGGGAGCTGGGGTTGTTTTGCCTGGAGCCTCAGGAGAAACAATCTTATCGTCTCTTCAACTCCCTGAAAGAGAGGTGTAGCCAGGTGGGGTTCAGCCTTATTTCCCAGGCAGCAAATAGACAGGACGAAAGGACGCAGTCTAAGCTGAGCCTGCGGAGGTTTAGGGTGGACGCTAGAAAGAATTTATTCATAGAAAAGATGATTGGATATTGGAATGGGCTGCCCAGGGAGGTCAGGAGTCACTGCCCCTGCAGGTGTTCAGGAAACGACTGGACATGGGGCTTAATGCCGTGGTCTGGTTAACAAGGAGATAACCCTTGTGTTTGGTCGTAAGTTGGACTCGATTATCTCGGGTCTTTTCCAGCCTAATGGATTCTTCGGGTTGAAGGTGGCAGGGCTTCGAGCCAGCTGCCATTTCCCGTATCAACCCCCAGTGCTCTGGGCTCAGTTTGAGTCAGAGAAGGGTCTGGCCCGAATTAAGCTTGAGCCTCTCACTGTGTGGAAGCTGTGAGAGGGTAAAATTTCTGTGTATGAATAACCCTGAACTAACCTGAACTCTCAGAATGAGTTCCATGTACACAAGACCGTGCCAAAGGGGCAGTGCCACCTGGTTGTCTGGTTGTCACTTACACCTAGCAGCAGTGTCAGAGACGTGAGTGTGGCAGTCACTGTCGTGGGTTAGGAGTGTTGACTGTTTGGTTCTCCCTGATACCTAATATGTAAGCTTTAGATTGCAAAAATATGTTACAGTGGCAACTGAATATGCCTATAACAGGTTTTTTTGGTTTTTTTTTTTTTTTTTAGTGACTGTGGGCAGTGCTGATTTCTTTCGTTACAGGATGAACTTTTGTTCTGATTTTTAGTTTCTTAACCTTACATATAGGAAATTAGGATAATGTATAGAATATATATTAGAATAATGTTGATGTGTTAAAATATCTTTGAATTTTTCTTCCATTTGTCTTGAATATATCCCCTTCTTCCCCCTAAGACTTTTGAAAATGCTGAATTTATTTGTATTTTTTCATCTCTTTAATACCTTAAAGCCAATTTTATAACTGTAAAATATGTTTTTCTTCTATCCTGCAGTGCTTCACATGTAGTTGTCTCCCTTGTGAAAAACTATCCAAACTATCTGATTATAAATCTGGATAAGGTAATAATACCTTGTTTTCTTTCTTAATATGGACAACTTGTTTTAAATGATTTATCATGTAATCTATAATATGTTGAATTTTATATGGCTTATTGTTAGTTACTAATTTTTGTTTGATTTTCCATTTGTTTCTGTGTACAAAAAACCAGTCAAGTGGTGTTCAGAAAAAGAACAAGACTTCAAGCTCTAAACATCTGTTTAAGAATTTTTGCAATTAGGGTTTCTTTTGAAGATTTATGCTTTTAAAGCTTCACATCTGCTTGTGAAGTAGATTTTTTTAAAATAAGTTTTTACTTTGTTCTTAGACTTTCCAGTGGTTAGGTTGGGTTTGAGTAGCCTTTTTGCTTCCATGAAGCCCACTTACTGATGTTGTGTGGTATTTCTCTTTAGCTCGACTACTGTGCAAGCTTGAAGAATCTTGAAACTGTCTCTGGGAAGGAAAACTACAAGTTTATCCAGGTGATAGAACCTTTGCTTCCACAAAATGTGACTTTTTACAGATTTTTGGTGTACTGCTTTCACAGTTTTGTCTTCAGACAGGAGATGGATTTTGATTTATTGTTCAGATCAATATTTGGGCTTGTATGCTGAGGTTCCTCCTGTCTACAAAAGGCAGTGCTGATGCTCATCTCTCTGTCTTGGGGTCTGCCAAGGGTTGCAGGACATCTGAGAAATGCTTATAGCTCAGTTTGCTGAAACAGCACCTTTCTCAGATGCAGTAGAGGTCAACTTGCCTTTTTCCTTAGATTTAGGTGAGGCTGGAAGCTGAATTTGCCCTGACCTGTTGGTGACCCCCATGGCTGTTTATGTTTTTATGCACCACCCCTTTATTTCAGTATGGGGGTTATGATCACAGCTTAACATCCAGCTGGTATGCAACCAAGCAGTTTACACTGACAGGAAAAAATGTGCTGGAAAAGATAATTTCCAATGTGCAGCCCTTATAATTAGAACTGTAACATTGGTCCTGACCTTAGGAGACAGCAAGAAGGATGTATTCTCTAGTGGTACTGTAGAAAGGAAGTCTGTTTTGGAAAGTAGAACAGTAAGTTTAGAAAATTAGACTCAGGGACTGTATGAAACATATGTTTTAATCACAATTTCTGGTGCTGTTCAGCGTGCATGTACTAAGCTTGAATTTCATAAAAAAAAATCAGTAACTAGCCATTTAGTTCAAAATAATTTCTCTTAAAAAAATATGTCAATTAAAAAATAAATCACCCAAATAAACAGCAAACAGCAAAGCCCTTGCAAGACATAATCTAATCCCCCTTAGTGGGAATCTGCTTCTCAGATGTTGCAGTACCACTAGATGTCCCTGCCAGCTTGCTAGACTGGGAACTCTTACTTGCTCTGGAAACTTGGAATTTCAGCCTCAGTGTTGGAGCTCCAGCTGTACTTTTGTTGTGTGTATTTTTGACACATTGCTATTTCTAATGTTAATAGTAATATAAATTCTGAAATAAGTTTCATTTAGGATTTTTTAAAAAATCGGTGAAATTTTATGTATGGTCTTATTTTAGACATGGCATTGATAAGTGGCCCGGAACTCAGTTGATAGTGCTGTTTATATCCTGTGTTCCCTTTGTAATGGTTTCTTATGTGACACTTGGTATAAAGGGAAGCTGACTATTTTCTATCAAAAATAATTTGCCTTTTTTTTTTCTCTCCTGTTTAGGGGGATATTTGTGAACCTGATTTCATAAAGCAGCTCTTTGAAACTGAGAAAATAGATATAGTGCTTCATTTTGCAGCCCAAACACATGTAGGTGAGCATTGCTGCATGTTTTGATATTGTTTTCCATGGCTATACCTGCTTGAAATATGTGCCAACCTACCTTTTGTCTTTTGTCTTCATATAAATCAAGGATCCAATTTGTCTCTACAAATCACATGACTGAGCATCTGGTGTCCTTTTTAACTCAGAGGGATTCACAGCCTTGATTTAAAAAGTTCTTAATCTAACTGTTGTCTTGTTTTCATTGCATATAAATGGTAATGCACCTTTTTGTCTGCATTACATTTTTAAATTCTATCTAGACTGACATGTAGCTGACAATGTACTGAGGGAGTCATAAAGACAGTGGAGTGGGGCTTTGTACATAGTCTGAAGTTTTTACCTAATTGGCTCCAATGTCACATGAAGAAACAGTGTGAAAGCTGAAGGATTAGGCATAAATGCCACTGGAATCTTGTCTCTGTGCTAAAAAGAGAGAATGAATTATAAAGTGCATATTTCAGATGGCTGCTTTTCAGTATCACTGTTAGTAAGAGCAATCCCTACCATACTCCATCCATCATGAGAAGAAATCCTCAAAGAATTCTCCAGGAAAGTACTTCTTGAAATTGTCAGATTTGATAGGCACAAAGTCATTAGGTCAGGGGAACAGCTGTGAGAATCAAAACAGCTGCTGATGAGTTATTAGTCATGGGTCCATATTACTGCATCTTGCAGCTGTCTTTGAATGACACTTTCCTTACTGTACTTAGACAATGCTATTTTAGATTAAAAAAATCCATAACCAGCAAGCTTTTGCTTATGATTCCAGCCTCTTGTTGAGAACAAGGATTTTTGTCTTCAAGTAAGTGTAGAAGGGGCCTTCATTTAATAAGAACCTTGCTGTCTGACAGGTCTATATTGCAGCCTTCAAGTGGAACCTATAGCCCTGTCTTGCTAAATTTAATTTATAGCCCTTGTCTTGTAAATATTAATCAGAATTGTCTGTATTTTTTAATGTAGATCTTTCATTTTGGCATGCCCTGGAATTCACCTACGTGAATGTTTATGGCACCAATGTGCTGGTTGCTGCTGCACATGAAGCCAATGTGGAGAAATTTGTCTATGTTAGTACAGATGAAGTATATGGAGGTAGCACTGATGAGGTGAGTTTAAAAATGCATGAGGATTTTTCTAGTTT